ATGTTAACCGCATTGAAAAAGTTCAACAGGTGTTTATCAGGTTTGCTCTTCGAACCTTGCATTTTAATGAACCTATACCTTCGTATCTTGCTAGATGTAAGCTCATTAATTTAAAATCGCTGGAAAGTAGGAGATCGATTCTTTCGCTATCTTTTGTATTTGATATTATTTCTCGAAGGGTGGACTGTGCCTCCCTCCTTGAACGTATTCGTTTAAATGCCCCACTTAGAAATTTACGTCACTTTGAGTTATTTCATATTGGCAAGGTAAAAACTGTTTATGCATTAAACGCTCCTATCACAAGAGCTTTATGCGATCTTAATCGCATCGAAAATTGTATTCATTGTGATTTTACAGCCTGTAAAAACGACTTTTTAAAATTGTTATCTTCTATTTTGGATTAATTTTGTAAATTTACTTTACTTTTCTTTTTAATAGTCTGTAAGAATATTTGATGTATTCATTGGCTAAATTAAACAAATAAATAAATAAATAAAAAATAAATAAATAAATAAATTATCAATCGGCTTATGGCCATACGGGTAATAAAGTTTTCTGATTGTTGGCGCGGTACGTTCGACATCTGAGTGATCTACAGAAACCCAACCCGATCCGACGAGCGAAGCTGAGCTCTATTTTAATGCAGTATCGCCTGGCTTGGCCCTGGCAACAAAACCTGAAATCCAAAATGGGACAAGACTGTGTATCCATGATCTACGTAGAAGTAAACTGCATGAAAATTTCCCTACTACAAATTTTTTTTCTTCGTAGCAGTTTGATCTAAATTTACTCTGCTAAAGCTAAGATCTCATTATCGGCACAAAGGGGCCGATTTTCGGCGCATTTCATATACCGATAGTGTGAACAAACACAATTTTTCGAAATGCGGCAAAAATAAATTAATGCGATTCGGCTTTTAAAACAGTTGACAGCCCTCTTCAAAATATTTGCAAGCTACATACCACCTTGTTAAACCTTTTTCGTCTGACACCCATATTTTGACACATACTTCAATTGCCTAATTCCATTATTCAAATTTGGTTTGATTTTCTTAACAGGAGGCGACCCTCCTTTATGGAGATGAGAAATAAAACTTTTTCAAAACTACCTCGATTGATACTTATATTTTACTAATTGATTTAACTTTATAAACAATTTGAATTAAAGTTTTTAAAAGGTGGCAACTCTTTTCTCAAAAGTAAACTTCTACAGCCCTTAAATTCGACACTCTACTTTTCCAAATCGAACAAAAGGTGCGGATATGAGGGCATTGATTATAATCAATAATAATAATTAATAATTAATAATTATTAAACATTGGAATTTAATTGGTCAACCGTTGGCAACTCTTTTCGAAAAAATCAAACCAGTTTGCACAGCTGCAGGCCAAGCGCTTAAATTTGATATCCCATTTTTGATCTTATGTCCTGGACAAAAAATCCCTTCGCGTATTATATATAGATGAGAATGGATTCGTTGTAAGCTTTAAAACAAGATGAAAGAGTACATACATACATACATACGTCGTTTACAAAACCGCGTGTGGTCGTTCTGCAAAACCGCGCAACTGACATTTTTTGCCAAAAATTGGATTTGGGCACACAAGCTCATGGCTCAATCTTTATCCATTCGTCCTGAAATATACTGGTAACAAATGCGATTCTTCTTCTTCTTCTTAATTGGCTCTGTAACCGCCTAAGCGATTTTGGCCGAGTCCAAAACAGCACGCCAGTCATTTCTCTTCTGTGCTAACTGACGCCAATTGAAAATGCCAAGTGAAGCCAAGTCCTTCTCCACCTGGTCTTTCCAACGCAGAGGAGGCCTTCCTCTTCCTCTGTTACCAGCATCGCGGCCCGCGTTGAATATTTTCAGAGCAGGAGCGTTTCTGTCCATCCGAACGACATGGCCAAGCCAGCGGAGCCGCTGAATTTTAATTCGCTGCACTATGTCTATATCGTTGTAAAGCTCATACAGCTCATCGTTAAATCGTCTGCGATATTCGCCATCACCAACGCGTAAGGGTCCGTAAATCTTTCGCAGAATCTTTCTCTCGAAAACTCCAAGAGCCGCCTCATCAGATGCTTTCATTGTCCATGCCTCCGCGCCATACACCAGCACAGGCATGATAAGTGACTTATAGAGTGTGATCTTTGTACGACGAGAGAGGACTTTACTTCTCAATTTCAAGGCTGACATTATTATTGGTGTTAATGCTGGTTCCCAAATAAACGAAGTCGTCTACTTTTTCAAACTTGTAACTGTCAACAGTGACGTGGGTGCCAAGACGCGTATGCTCTGACTGTTTGTGTGATGACAGGAGATACTTCGTTTTGTCCTCGTTCACCACCAGACCCATTCGCTTTGCTTCTCTATCCAATCCCGAGAAGGCAGAACAGACGTAGCCCTTGTTTTTACCGATAATATCGATGTCGTCGGCATACGCCAGCAATTGTACGCTCTTATAAAGTATTGTGCCTGAGCGGTTCAGTTCTGCGGCTCTTATTATCTTCTCCAACATAAGATTAAAGAAATCACACGAAATGGAGTCCCCTTGTCTGAAACCTCGTTTGGTATCAAACGGCTCGGAGAGGTCCTTCCCTATTCTGACGGAGCTGGTGGTATTGCTCAACGTCATTTTACACAGCCGTATTAGTTTCGCGGGGATACCAAATTCAGACATCGCGGCATAAAGGCAACTTCTCTTCGTGCTGTCGAAAGCGGCTTTGAAATCGACAAATAGATGGTGTGTGTCGATCCTATTCTCGCGGGTCTTTTCCAAGATTTGGCGTATTGTGAATACCTGATCTATGGTGGATTTTCCAGGCCTAAAGCCACACTGATAAGGTCCAATCAGCTCGTTGACGGTGGGCTTCAGTCTTTCGCACAATACACTCGATAAGACCTTGTAACCTATGCTTAGAAGGCTAATTCCGCGGTAGTTGGCGCGTATGGCGGGGTCACCTTTCTTGTGGATTGGGCAGAGCACACTTAAATTCCAGTCGTCGGGCATGCGTTCATCTGACCATATTCTGCATACGAGCTGATGCATGCACCTCATCAGCTCCTCGCCGCCGTACTTGAATAGCTCGGCTGGCAGGCCGTCAGCTCCAGCAGCTTTGTTGTTTTTCAACCGCGTAATCGCTATACGTACCTCGTCATAGTCAGGCGGTGGGACATCACCTCCATCATCATCGACTGGGGACTCGGGTTCGTCTTCCTCACTACTTTCAGCGCTGCTACCATTCAGTAGGTTATAAAAGTGTTCCCTCCACAATTTAAGTATATTCTGGACATCGGTCACTAGGTCGCCATTGTTGTTCTTACAGGAGTTCGCCCCGGTCTTGAAACCTTCCGTAAGTCGCCTAACCCTCTGGTAGAATTTTCGGGCGTTCTTCCTGTCGGCCAGCATCTCAAGCTCTTCGCACTCACGTATTTCGGCCTCTCTCTTCTTATTGCGGCAAATACGTCTCGCTTCCTTCTTCAGTTCCCTATAACGGTCCCACATGGCTCGCGTTGCGCCCGATCGCAGCGTGGCCCTGTAGGCGGCATCTTTTTTCTCTGCGGCTTCTTGACATTCCTCATCGTACCAGTTGTTCTTTCGGGGTCGCTGAAATCCAACTACTTCTTCGGCGGCGGTACTTAATGATCGGGAAATGTGGTTCCACTGCTCGCGTACGTTGGATTGTTGAAGAGTGCTCTCAGAGAGCAGGTGTGTGAGTCGAGTGGCGAATAAATTGGCCGTCTGTTGTGATTGCAGCTTTTCGACGCTAAGCTTTCCTTGCATTGTTGGGCGCACATTTTTTGCTGCACAGAGGCGGGTGGGTATCTTGGCTACAACAAGATAGTGGTCCGAGTCGATGTTTGGCCCTCGGAGTGTACGTACATCCAAAACGCTTGAAGCATGCCTTCCGTCTATCACAACATGATCGATTTGGTTTCTCGTTTTTCGATCTGGAGACAGCCATGTAGCTTGGTGGATGTTCTTATGCTGGAACCTAGTACTACATATTACTATATTTCTGGCCCCGGCGAAGTCGATCAGCCTCAGTCCGTTATCGGACGTTTCGTCGTGGAGGCTGAATTTTCCGACAGTGGCGCCAAAGATCCCTTCCTTGCCCACCTTGGCATTAAAATCGCCAAGCACGATTTTGACATCGTGTCGGGGCAGCGCTCATATGTACGTTCCAAGCGCTCATAGAAGAGATCCTTGGACGCCTCATCCTTCTCTTCCGTCGGGGCATGGGCGCAGATGAGCGAGATGTTGAAGAATCTAGCTTTGATGCGGATTGTGGCTAGACGTTCGTCCACCGGGGTGAACGCCAGTACTCGGCGACGGAGTCTCTCTCCTACCACGAATCCAACACCGAATTTGCGCTCCTTTACGTGGCAACTGTAGTAGACGTCGCAAGGCTTCACGCTTACTTTACCTTGCCCCGTCCATCGCATTTCTTAGATGGCGGTGATGTCAGCCTTTGTCTTCCCGAGGACATCAACCAGCCGGGCAGAGGCACCTTCCCCATTAAGGGTCCGGATATTCCAGGTGCATACCCTTAAATCATAGTCCTTTATACATTTGCCGTGGTCGTCATCAGAAAAAGGGGGTCTCATCCGAGGCTGTTTTTTTCTTTTCATTGGGCGGGGTTTTAACGTGGCGGGACCCAAACCCAGCGCACGCGAAGTTTTACGCCTTCTCACTTTAGCTCGCTCCCAAACGGGTGTTTGGTTGCTACCCAGAGGATACGTGGATATAAATATCCGGACGTTGTGAGCTGCGATTTGAACCGTACGCACAAGAATCGCTTCTGGCCACTCCCAGGTGAATGGCAGTCAAAAGTTTTCCACTTCTGCGCACGGAACCATCCTCCAACAAATGCGATTGCTTAATAAAAAAGAGAACCATTTTGAAATAATAGCAAATAATTATCGCACCTCACGTACGCGGTTTTGCATTTTGTTGCTACGTGGTTTTGTACTTTAAACGACGATAAGTATATACTTACTTTCCGATTGCATTTCGTGCTGTGCAGGCGTACTCGCCACCATCCTCCTCCTTTACATTTGATATGTTCACATGACTTATGACGTCATCATGAATAGTTACATACTGGCCGACCAAGAATCTTGAGTTGTCCGGTATCTGAAAAATGGATGTAGTTAAACAAGGCAACACAATTAGGTTAAAAATTTATTTTCTCTCATTTTCTTTCTTTAAGATAATAGATAGTACTATACTTTTTGCTTTGTAATTATAATAGTTTTTACTTTATTGGAGACCGCTGTAGCAGTGCGCGCTACCATTCCGCAGGACCTGGGTTCAAGCCCAGTTTCCGATCAACATCAAAACATAAAAAACAAAATGGTATTTTCTAATAACGGTCACCCCCTGAGTGTATTTCAGCCATGAAAACAGCTTCTCATAAAAATACAATCGGCGTTCGGAGTCGGCGTAAAACTCTAGGTTCTCCCCTTTGTGTAACAACATCAAGACGCACGCCACAAATTGGAGGAGAAGCTCGGCCAAACACTAACAGATTGTGTAAGCGTCAATCTTTTCTTATCTATTATAAGTTTTTTCCCATACATACATTTTGTAAAAAAGTGTGCTGTGTTCGATCAAAATAGACAACCAAGCTATTTTCATAGACCTTCTTTTTAATTCTGATTATTTCTTCAAAATTAACGCCCATCAAAGACATGGGAGCAAATTCATAGTCGAAATAAAGTAAATTCTAAAGTTAGTTTCAGCTTTTTTGACAGATATGCCATTGAAAATCATGGCGAAAAGCTGCCGATAACCTTTATTTAGACTATGATTACGCCCATGCCGACTGAAAGTTGAAATTTTGGCTTAGAACTTGGGATGGCAATTAAAATTCACTACCCTATTAATGTTTCAAATGATTAAGCGCAAGGAAAAAATAATAATTGCAATTAATTACGAGATAATAACGATTAACTGGCATTTCGGTCATGGGGGGGGGGTGGGGGGGGGGCTCGGTATCCCTCTAACTTCCAAGTTTGCCCTATTTATATAAAAATAGTACCCCGCAATGCTTAATAATTTCGAGGAAGAAAACAGACGTTTCGTGGACACTGACACTCCAATCAAATGGGAAAAATGTGGGAAAGTAGGTGTTGGTTCACCAACGTTCACAGCAGCTGTCCGCCCAGTTAAAACAATCGTGTTACACTCTTTTAATTTGAGCAGTTGACCAACTAGATTCGCTTGGAAAAATAAAAAGAGAGTACGAATAACGTTCGTTTGCGAATTCAAAAATGGCGTTTGCTTAAAAACTTCTAAGAATATAATCCAAGAATAAAAGAAAATCAAAGAATGTTCGTGTTTGTATACTTCTTTTTTGGCAGAGTTGCATCTTTTCTGTGCTGCCATATTGTTAAGTCAGTTGTAGTGTGTTACCGGGCGGTGTTGCGACATTCTCCCCCCGGTATAACGATATGGGTGAGTTAATACCTTAACAGGTGCATCATCGCCGATTCTCTCCCCGATTACATCCAGTACTGCTAGTTATGCAGCAGGACGGTGATACTCGCCGGTTGCGGTACGTACTAAAGCGCTTCTTACTTGGCCATCTTTCCCTGTGAATGTGTCCACGACCCTGCCTTTCGGCCACGTGTAACGGGGTAGGTTGGGATCGACTATGATCACAACGTCACCTTTTCTAATTGGCTTAACATCGTCATACCACTTTGCTCTTCTAGTTAACGTTGGTAGCACCTCTGTTATCCACCTTTTCCAAAACCTATCGGCTAGGTACTGTGAATGGCGCCAAGACCGTCTTACGTACTGGTCTGAGGAGGAAAACAGACCTGGCGGCCTAAGTCCCGACGAACTTCCCAACAGGAAGTGGTTCGGAGTCAACGCTTCCTGTTCTGCGGTCTCCAATGATAGGTACGTGAGTGGTCTACTGTTCATAATGCTCTCGACCTCTACGAATAGGTTGTACAATTTCTCGTCACTAAGTTTGGTTTCTGGGGTCAGTATTTGATATAGGACATCTTTAAATGTTCGAGTCGTTCGCTCCCACGCTCCTTCCATGTGTGGACTAGCAGGAGGAATAAGCGTCGACTTAGTTTCAACACTCGTGAATTGCATTTGAAGAGCGCCAATATCAAGCTGGCGAAAAGCCTCTCGTAACTCTTTCTCTGTAGCAAGAAAATTTGTCCCATTGTCGCTGAACATATGCACCGGCGTTCCTCTCCGGCTTATGAAATTCCTAACAAAAATTACACAGGAATTCATGGATAGCGAATATGCTATTTCAACATGAATGGCTCGACATGTCATGCACGTGAATAAAACACCGTATCGTTTTTCAGCACGCCGTCCGATTGTAACCAGGAATGGCCCAAAAAGTCAATTCCCACGTACGAAAACGGTCTTGTGTAGGGTGCTAGGCGTGCTTCAGGAAGTGGTCCCATCTTCGGTGGCAGCGGCTTAGCCTTACGCAACTTGCAGTGCTGACAGTCATAGCGAACTGTTCGCAGGGCACGACGTAAGTTTGGTATGTGAAACTTTTGATATATCTCGTTAACAATATCGTGATGAACGTGTTTGTACTTGCGATGATACCAGTTGATAAGGAGTTGTCCAATTTTGTGATTTTTGGGCAATATTATTGGATTCTTTATAGAATCTTTAATAGGAGCGTATTCTAAGCGGCCCCTTTGACGCAAAACCCCATCGTTATCAATAAATGGTGACAGCTTCCGCAAAACGCTTAGCTTTGGCAAGACACTGTCCGAATTCTTCTTAAGCATCTTGATTTCTTGAGAATATGAATCGGCTTGTGCAAAACGGTAGAGCCAACGATGGCCCCAAATGCAACTCCTCAGCGGTCAGTCCTTCAGACGTTCCTTGCTCATGATCAAACTTTTTCCTAGTTGCTTCAGGTTTGCATTTGTCGATGAAATGTTTCACATACGCCATACATCGTTCAAGTCGTTCCCATTTTGAGAATCTAGTTGGATCTATTATGGGGCGGAACTCTGTATGTACATTAATATGTTCTGCTTCCGGATTTAGTTCCATATCTTTGGAGGGCGTCACACTAGATTCATGATTATATATAGGCCACTGCTCACGCGGTGAATGCAAATATCCTGGACCAGAAAACCAGGTGCTTGTCGGACCAAACTCGATTGTGTTCTTCCACTTCGTGGCCGCATCCGCTACGTTCATCTTTGAGGGAACATAACTCCATCTTGTTACGTGTGTAGTTTCTTGAATCTCTGCGACTCTAAACATAACGAATTGTTTAAACTTTCGAGGGTCAGAGTGCAACCATGCCAGCACTGTGCGTGAATCTGTATAAAAATACATATCGTGAATGGTGAGATCATGACCTTTAACTATGGCATTGGCGAGGCGGGCTCCCAATACTGCAGCAAGTAGTTCCATTCGTGGTATAGATATAGGTCGGAGCGGGGCAACTTTGGCCCTTGAGGCTACGTAAGCGACCTGAATATTTTCCTCGTTTGTTATTCTAAAATATGACACGGCTGCACTTGCTACCTCACTGGCGTCTACGAAGGTATGGAGTTCTATTTTACATTTTTTGTTAGATATTTTGCCGAAATAGCATCTAGGAACCTGGACCTCTTTTACTTGCTGGAAAATTGATAACCGCCGACGCCACGCCCCTTCGCACTCTTCAGAAATCTCATCATCCCATTCAACACCACTTCGCCAGATACCCTGTATTAACATTTTTAATTCTATAGTGTAAAACGATAGGAAACCTAAGGGGTCATAAACTGACATGATTAGCCCGATTGGTGGGTATCTTGTCACCGCGCAAAATCTCTTCGCTGGCTTTGGTATACTTAGTGTCAAACGTGAACATATCAGAACTTGTTCGCCACCATAAGCCGAGAACCTTTTCTGGCTCTATCACTTGGTCAAGGGTTCGTCCCGAGTTACAAAATTCATCATCCGAACCTTTGTCACCTATGGCGTTAGCAACCTGAGACGAATTGGTCAGCCATCCCCTGATATGAAAGTTGCCCCGCTTATGAACTTCGACGACTTGCTTTATAAGATCAATTGCGTCCTGTTCCGTATCAACACTGTCTAGCATATCATCCACGTAATGCCTTTCTGTTATCGATTTTACCGCTCTCGGAAACTCTTTGGCGAAGTCTTCTGCATTTTTGTTCCTTACGTATTGCGCGATTGCAGGAGAACAACTTGCGCCGAATGACAACACTTGGAGTACATAAGTGCTCGGGGATCGACTAGTGTCACAATCGCGCCAGACAAAGCGCTGCGCATGCTGACCGTCATTATGGACCCTTATTCTGTGGAACATATCGCATATGTCACCACAGATGCCAATCTTCCCGATTCTAAAGTTGTACAAAACGTCAACCAATGGCCGCAACAGGTCAGGCCCCTCTTCGAGGCGCCCGTTGAGGGATATTCCTTGATGCATAGCTGCTGCGTCCCAAACCACCCGTATCTTACTTGGCTTGTTAGGGTTGCTTACGGAAAAGATTGGTAAATACCACTTGCGTTTATACTCTTGATTAATTTCAACTTCATCGAGCTTTCGAATGTACCCTTTTTGTTCCATACTTTGTATGAGCGCGTTAATCTTATCTTTCATCTCGATGTTTTTACTTAGCTTTTTCTTAAAACAAACAAGTCTGCGCAAGGCAGATTCAAAATTGTTTGGTAAGGCTATATTATCGCAGCGCCAAATCAGCCTGGTTGTAAAATGATCGCCAGTGCGCTCAACGCGAGGGCGATGTCATTATCACATTCACAAATATGTAGCTGAAGGTTGTTGGTGTTCTTATCATGTTGAGCTTTCACCACACCGTAAACCGTCCAGCCCAGGCGTGTGTTCGTTGCAGCGGGCTCATCACTTTTTCCCTCCCTGAACTTCAGTGGCATTGCCAAATGCTTCTTATTTAACCCGATAATTATCTGGGGGACTACACCGTGATAGGACTCGACCGGCAAATCCTTAAGATGCTTATATTTGTCAGCCATCTCTGTCATAATTAAGGCTTGTTCAGGAAGGTCTAATTTGTTAACTGTTCGAACGTCCCGAAGCATAAACATTTTATTTTTGTCCTTTGCAGATACTTGTAGGTTGATCATTTGGGACTCAT